GACCCAAGTCATTTAGAGTCTAACTGTGCTATTTAGAGCTAACCGTGCCGTTTTAGAGTCGAACCCGAACTGTTTTAGAGCCGAACTGAGCTGTTTTGAGCCGAGCCAAGGCAAGCCGTTTAAGCCGAGTCGAGCCGTTTAAGCCAAGTCGAGCGCTCGTACACCTCTGGTAAATTGCATGATAACTCTTTAAAACTTGATTTGTAAATTAGGCATGTGCGATATTCCCGCACCAACTTGAGAGGCATGTGGTACATCTCTAGTAGATTGCATGATAACTCTTCAGAACTTGATTTGTAAGTTGGGCATGTGCAATATCTCTGCACCAATTTGAGGGAGGGTGTTGAATACCATATTTTATTATTTAATTATTTAATTATTTAGTCAGTTGATATTATAAAATTAGGATTTTATGATAATAATAATTTCATATAATTAAAAGTTTATTAGAATAAGAATAAGAATTTATTTATTAGTAATATAGGAATATTATAAATATTTTAACTGTAAAAACCCAAAAAGAGAGAAATAAAATTATATTTTTTCTCCAAATTCTACACTAACATAAACTGATGCATACATATTTGAACACTAAAAAGTGAGTAAAAACCACATAAAAATATATATTAATTTAATTCGAATATAATTAGTTGAAAGAAACTTTTGCTCTAACCGTAATACTAATATTACTATGTTTCTACAACGCGAGTGGAAGCGGAGACTTGATAAATTGGGGGATCTCAATCTTGAAGATAGCTTGTCCACTAGGAAATAAATGAATCCACTGCTGGAATGATCATAAACGACCCAAAACTCTTCCCACAATGCACTGTCATGCTGGCCTGTAACTTGCATCAATTTCTTTTTTAAGACATATGAAGAGGTGGGTGGGATTGGGCTACTTCTTGTGGGGTTCGTCTTGCCAACGAAGGCTCTAGCGCACCAAATAGCGCACTCTTGAATTGACGCATGCATATCAGCCAATCTAAGTCATACTTTTAAATCAATGGCTAATATTGCTAGCTTCACCTCATCGGCTATAGATGGCTTTTCTCATGGCCAAAAGTGCTAGCATGCGTTCAAGTGCACACGATAGTATCTCCATGTTATTCGCCAATCTCCTTCTTGGAGCATTCATTCTCTCTTTAGTTTCTATACAGAGTTGTGAGAAAGAGAATGAGAGAGAGAGATAATTACGAGAGAGAAACAAAAGCAAAAAATATTTAATGTAAGTATTTTATTTCTCATGATGTCATTGAACACTGAGAACCAATCTAATTAATCTTCAAAATGCAATAACCAAAAGAGAAAATGACAAACCCAATTGTAAGAAACAATGATTTCCTTCCTCCACCTCACCCTATAAACAAAATGCAATACATAAACCTCCATACTCTTTCTCTTTCCTACTCTTGTTTTGATATACGGGTCATCTAACATGACATCGACATAGATGTAATGTCGTGGATGCCACATTAGAAAAAAAATCGATGGCCATGGACTCGAATGCCATGAGGCACTGCTTTAATGGGTGTTTAACAACTATTAGTTTACAACCTCATTTGGATTTTTTACAAAATACAGGAATCCAAAAATATTATATGTAAGAATGATAGTAGTAGAGCAGCAATTTGAGTATTTAAGCCTAAAAAGATTAATTAAAAATATGAGTCATTTGATGCATTAGGCCCAGCAGCTCAAGCCCATGTGCATCCTGTCATGGGCTACGCCAATGGGCTAAATTGATTTGGACTTCCAAATTTTCTCTAGCAGTTGGGTCCGGCCTAGCCTTTCCATAGAATTCGACTGGCTGAACCAAGCTAGCCTGGCCCACCCATTTTTTTTTTTTTGTGAAATAAAAGAGAATGAATTGTATTAATAATTACAGGTATCAAGGATGTGCAAAACTTGTATATAAAAGGTATTCACATATCAATAAGGACCTCGATAAGATTACCAAAATCCTCCCTGGTGTTTAAGTAATAACCATTTATCGAACAACCCAAAAGTTGATATCACCTATCCCTAACAATATCCAAATCCTCATCCACCCCATCAAAAGTCTTATTTCTTTCCTTCCATATTACCCAAAAAATAGTAAAAAGTATGAGACCTAATTGTTTTTTCTATCACTCACCCACTTCCACGTCCAAATCTCCTTCCTTACACTCCCCGCCATAACCCAGCTGATACCCAAAATTCCATACACCGTACACCAAAGTTTAGAAGTTAATGGGCATCAAAGTAAAATATGATTGCAAGTCTCCTTAGCATTCTTATACAAGTAGTACCCATTAACCAAAAACTTGCCATCAACTTGTCGATAGTCAATATGTTATAATGTCTTGCTTCCCAGGCAAAGAAAGCAATTATGAGAGGAGCATTCACTTTCCAAATTTACCATGAAGGGAATTTAACATCTAAACTATCATTCTTAATCAAGTATTTATAGAAAGACCATACAAAAAATAACCCATTTGGTAGAGTGCCCAAAAAGGTCTGTCATCACTATCCCCCAACTCTACAAAAGACAGAACTTCCAATAAGGACACATACTCCCTGGACCACTCATTCTTGTACTTGTACAAAAATAGGCCACTCCAGAGCATCACAACCCACCAACTCAGCCAATTCTCTAATCTTCTGATACTTCACATTGATGTTCACCAAACAACTCTTGCTATTGTTAACATATAGACCCAAAATACTGTACACAAATGCAAAATGTTAAGACCATAAACAAAATTTCATGATCACTTGAGAGGAAAAGGATCTTGTCATTAGACAATTGGAGATGAGAGACCCAGATCTTTCAAATATCAACCATGATTATCGAGCTTCGCTTATTGTTGCAAAAAGAATCCATGCATATATGGAAAAGAGTATTCTAATAAGCAACATATTATTTATACACAAAAGACATGCCTATTAGCAAAATTAGACCCCATAATAGAATTCCTAAAACCAAGAATTAGGAATCATTTCATCCAAATAATGATTAGAGAAAGATAAAGAGTTCTGCATAATTTCCTATCAATAAAAAATGCGTACATGTCATCATTATCATCTTGATGATACAAGAACATGTTTCCTCAACTTTATAAAAATGTCAATGTCAGTAGTTTTCATTATTATACTTGCAAACTTAGCAAATGTTATCATATTTGCCACTAGACACCAACCACCAGAGTGAATAATGGAATTGAGGATCCTCATCTAGCCGCTCCTTGACCCTTGAACTATGCTTTAGGTTCTCCATTAATAACAACAGAAAAGCAGCAAAAGACAAAGCAGCTTCTACTACATGCTTTCCACCTTGAACTAAAACCTTCCCGATCCATAATCTTATCTAGTAATCCCTAGTTGTACTTATCATAAGGCTTTTCAAAATCCAACTAAAAGAATAGGTGGCCGGTCCTTATTCCTCTTGACATCCTCAACTACTTCATCAAACATAAGAGAAGCATCCAGAATTTGCCTCTCGCAACAAAAGCACTTTTGAGTGAAGGAATCAATATTTCCTAGGACCTCATGTTGTGTGATAATTAGCAGTTCATGTTTTCTCCTTTTTCCGATTATATTCATAATCATAAATAGTTGATTAACTATGCATACTAAAAGAACAATTTTTGTGGTGAAAGAAAAGAAACTACCCTAGTGAAGTAACAGAATAAAGGGAGAAAGAACTCACTTTGCTAATTGACTTGATGCAAGTTCAAGCGCGAGGAGGGTAGCTAATGCACCACCCAAACTATGACCAGTTACATAAACATTCCATTTGTGTAGTGACTGAGCAGCATCTTCCCTGTCTCAGAGTGGAAAAAAAGGAAAGAAAAATTTCTCTCCTGTCAACAAAAGGGTTTTCATCTACTTGTATAGAACAAAATATGATAGCAATCAATAGTTAATCATGCAGCTAGCGTCATAGATTGCAGAAGTGCGTTATATTGAATCAGAATTGGGCTCCAGTCATGAAAGATTCCTATCATTGTGGCTTTTGACACTTAATTTTCTTCAATTGTGATTCTAAAAGCAACAATGAAATAGCAAGACCTATAATATCACAAAAAAGGAAAAAGTAAAATAATAAGAAGGACTTACATGTAGCCAATTAACAATTTTATCAGAGAAATAATCCTCATCCTAACCGAATCATATGCACTTAAAAATCCACTATGAACCTGCAAAACATTGGAGCAGCACTTACTATCAAAAATTAATGCATCTTTTTACATATTTCTAATACAAAATCCAATCTCCAAATTCTTCACATACTTGCACTTCTTGCTTAAATTCTCCACCAATTCTCTCGGGGTTTAACCTACAATAGCAGGGACAGGCTAAATTAGAAGGCAGCACATATAACTGTGATGAAAGCAATATAAGTTCTAAGGGATAATTCAGTCAACGGACAGGAAAATATGGTGCAAATTATATCAAAAGAACTTGTCTAGGATGATAATCTTACAAACCTTAAAGGAAATGGGGGAAAAAAAACTGCTCAAATGCAGAATGATATGTAAGAAAGTGATGTTTGATATAACCAACAAACATTTCCTCAAATTTGACTGACTGAATTTTAACATGCATGTCACTATTCTCCTTAAGATATTAAGATATGTTTCTCTATTCCCGATGGATGTATTAAAGGAAATACTCTTGAAAGCGAAAGGACAGTTTGTATTATGCCTCGGCAAAACAACAACGCCCGCAGAATTATTCGCTGCCAATATTAGGAAACTATAAAATACTTGAGTTGAATAAATAATGCTTAAGCAGAGAATAGCTTAATTATGTATGTACTTTAACATTCCTCATCATACTAAATTCTATCAGGGGTAAAGTCTGGAGAGAACACAGAGCTCAGAGCACAGTACACTTTACCTTCTGTAGATTTATTTTTAAAATACAAACACGACTTAAGATTTGAACTCGAACTCTTAAACTCCAGTTCTGATATTAAGTGAAATAATATAATGTAAACATTTTTAATCAACTTAGGTCAGGTCACTGATTGTTGCAAAATCTAACTAATTTTGGAATAATTGCAGATTTAAATCTATTGTTTCAACTGGCATTAGAGTATGAGATTAAGAGTCTAAATCGTTACCGCTCCATTCCATTAGAAGTTTTAAACGCATGGACAAGATATAATGAATGAATGGTTTTAGCTAATGGGCTTGTGTAGGGGTTAATAGAATTGGAGCCTTTCCTATTCATTTAAACTTTTGAAATAATTGATGATCCAACATGCACAAAGTATGGAAACCAAACTGGAACGAACACTAAAAAAAGAAAGATGTGCATGGATGTTGTTACCCAGCAGGAACTAGCATTAAATCAGTTATCAGATCCTTCCACTTTGACTGCAAAACAATTAAAGCTACAATTATAACTGAATATTAGGTATCCAACTCCCAACTTATTAGAAGAACACAGATATAACCTACTTGTTCCGTCCCCCTGAAAGCAACAACTAGTCTTTTCCGTGCTACATCACGCCAGATGGCCACCTGCAGCTTCCTGTGACTTAGTACTTGACAAAAAAAATCTGCGACAACACTTCAAGATATACAATTTCTCTCTGCTCAATTAATAAAATGATCATAACCGAAGTTGGATTATTACTGAAAAGATAAACGCTCACCTGGGTGTCTGTGGTCTCATTATCTAAAAAGCATATTTTCTCAAATTCAGACTTAATAAAAGTTGGATGACCCAGTGAAGTGGCAAGCATTGCCCAAGCCTCCATGGCACTTTCTGCCGTTGAAAAAAGTGCTTTCATCTCCTCAGATTTCTTTTCATCCAATAATGTGCCATCCAGTTTTCCAGGAAGTATCTCAGCCCCTTTGTTCCCATGGATATCACCTTCTATTTTGGTGGAAGACTGTTCTTCAGTGTCACTCTTCCTCGCAAAAAGTGCTTCCTTGTTAAAGTGAGGAACTGCTGTAGTTAAAACCATTAATGCTCCTAGAATGGTATCAGTTTGCCTCAACAGATCCTGTGTTGCTTTCTTTATATCTGGAAGTGAAGACTGAACAGTGCTAATGTCAGTTGGGACACTTGCTTTATCTTTACCAACATCCTGACCACCTGGAGTTGCAAGCCCTGATTCAATATAACCCGCTTCTGCAATCTTTAGTGACTGTAACCCAATTCTGTTAAGTAAATCTAGCCCATCCCACTTAAATTTCTCAGGAAGAGGAAGATCAAGTTTCTGGACAACATTATGATTGATAACATCTGCAAAGTTCTTCCAGAAATGTGTATTTGATTTTGTACTTTCATCAACTTTAGTCATTGGTTCGGTACAATGTCCGCCACCCATGTTATCATTTTCCCTGTCCCCTAAATTGCTCCCTTTAGCACTGCTTCTATCATTCAAAGTGATTTCTGAGCTACTCTGCACCTGCAAAAGTTGGTCTGATGCAATAGTGGAATTGTTGAATGCATTAACAACTTCATTGTCATCCTTATTACTGCTTAAAAGGCCATCCTTCGGAAGGGAAGCATCATTGAATGCCTTTAGCTGTCCAAAAGCATACTGTACAAATTGACTTGCTGGTACAGTCTCGGATCCAATTAATGTTTTCAGTGACGCGTCAAAACCCTTCTCTTTAAGAAACTCTGAAATAAATGGGATCCTCCACCACTTCTTTTCTTCATCAATTACTTCAAAACTCTTATACTTAACCTGAGATCTCAGCAAGTAAATTTGTCGCTTTCAAAATTCTATTTTAGTAGTTTAAAAATGTTAACAAGCAGTAGGTTTATGTGCTTTAACACCCTGAACTCCTTTTGAGCAAAAACAAAGTCAAGTGAAACACTCCCTAATCACTTTACTTGCCACCTCCTAGGTCGTGCTAGATCATCCACCTGCAAAATTGTAGGGAAAAAAAACTTAGGGCATTAATAACAACATTGGCTAATTCCAGAAAAACTGGAAGGTAACAGCTAAATGAACGGAATTCATTTTGAAATTTCGCAACTTCAGAAAAATTGCCAACAAAAAGTTGTGAGAAAAGAAAGAATCAAAAGAAAGGCAACCCAAGCATTACCTTCAGTTAAAAGAGTGTCCTAGACTGCACATCATTAGCGGTAAGCATATATATTAACCGCTCCTTACATCCACATCAAGAAACCATGTGTTAAATTGTAAAGGCCAGAAAAAGAAAGAACAAGAAGTGAAGATCAAGAGAGTGAAATATTGAGACAAGGGTACATAATATAATCCATCAATAAAAATTGTTCATGCTAAAATCCTTTATACATCGTAAACATACATATTCTAGGGGATGCATATGTAAAGTAGAAGAAACAATTTAAATTTTGATAGAGAAACATGGCAGACAAGCTTGAAATCTTCAGGACATGTTACCGATGTTTTTCAACATAAATTTCCTATCTACTGCGCAGGAACTTGTTCTGGCAGGCAAAGAATCTTATAAAGGCTACAAAGAACTAAGCTTCAAAAACATACACTACCAGGCAGTATTTCACATGAGACCTAAGAGTACCCTTTCTTTCACAATAACTCCAATAAAACCCACCTCAGAGGTCAATACAAACACAATTAAAAGAAAATGCAGATGGCGAAAAGTTAATGAGAAGAAAAATACAAAAACGATGTGATAAAAAAATTAACATTAAAATTGGACCTAGAAAATGGAAAAAGTCAACAAAGACTAGAAAGATAGGAAGTCCTAAAATAATGACTCCATAAAACTTCTCCATTTAATTCAAACTAGGAAGCACAAGAAATAAAAAGATGCTTTTATGTTTTTTTTTTATTTGAAAAAGACTGATAGCTTGTTAGTTATTCATACTACACTGAAACGCCAAGGACAATATGGAAGTGCAATAAAGTAAATGAATTAGCCGATGATTATTATAAGTTTATAGAAAATTATCCAACTTTATTATTATATTCTATCACACTCCATTGCGCACAAGCAGGACACAGTTTTATTATTTGAATTCCAATATACTCTCTCACATGCAAGAAACGTGCCAAACTTGCCTGTAAAACAAAATTAAAAAAAAAACTCAAACAGGGGCCAAGTTAAGCATACACTAACAAGAAAGAAGAGGTAAATAACAATGAAGACCCACTGTAAGCAACAAATGAGTGAACAATTGAACGAAAGTTGAGGTTCACAAGATTTAAACATATAACATCTTACTCAAATATTAGGTGAATTAATCATCATGTTGATATTCGATAGAAAGTTACCAATCTTCACACCCCGGTGAATGATTAAGAATACAGAATAACGGTGAAGATAGAGAAGTCATCTTGCAATCCCATAATTAGTCCTGAACTCATTTGTCCAGTGTAGGTGTGAGGGGTCGTCCTCATTTGGATTAAATTTTGGGCATCTATTAGTGAAAGTTTGTA